GCTCAATTCTTATAGATTAAATCTATCAAACTCCTCTAAAAGTATCTATAAGAATGAGAAGATTGAGATTAAAACAAATAAAAGTAAAACAATATAAAAAAATGTTTGTGTGATTTAATATTCTTCAAAAAATTTTACAGAAATGTAAGGATAAAATTAAATTTCACGATAAGCTTCAAGTTATAATCTGATGTTATATCGAAACTTAATAAATTTTTATTACACTTCTCTCTATTTTTTTTTTTTTAAAAACTTCGACTTTGGCACATTCGGGCAATTTAAATGAGTGCATTGTGTTGTCATGCGAGGACCGTTAGAACTATGTACCTTTACGCGCGCGATTATCCCTGCTATGCCCTGTGCTCGCTTCCTTAAACTCGGGTTCGTGCATGTATGCACGTATGCACGCACGTAAGCGTGTACGCGTGTACGAAACGCACGCAAGTCTCGTGAGAACGGCGTTCTCTCGATTCTGTTGGCGCCACGCCGCTCTGCGAAAAAAAAAAAAAAAAAAAAAAAAAAAAAGAAAACAACACGGAATGCGACACATTTCCGCGCTTCTTGTTGCGCGTGTGTACTTTTATTTAAAAATAATTAGTTTTACATATATAATTTATATACATAATTTATGTGTTTTAAAAGTTTTCTCCTACTTTCGATCTCAATCTAACATCTATAATACTTGATACTTTAAGCTAGATACTTTAAGCAGTCTCTCTCGAATTATTCTCTCTTTAAACTATATTTGGACACAGTTATGCAATATGAAATCCAAGATAAAACCAATCATTAATTTTTTCTTATTTTGAGATTTTTATTGCGAATTGCACCCGCTGCATTTAATCTGTAATTTTGACTGAAAACATCTCTTTTAAATTTGTAATAATTAGCAAGAAAATATTTATTTACTGTTTATTTGTAGAATACAAGCTCAATTCCTATATGAATTTTAAATCTATCTAAAATTAATAAATAAAATTAATTAATAATAAAAGATTAAAATTAAATCTTTTAAAATCCATAAATATAAAATAATGGAGATTGAATATAAGCAATTGAAAAAAGCAATATTTTGATTTGGGGCTTTTGTAATACGTAAATTGCGTTAATTTATGCATTAGTATAGTATATTTAGTTTTGTCGAATTGACTATTCCTTCTATGCCGGAAAAGAACAATTTTCTTAAAAATAAATTTATCTTGCGATCAAATTCATCCAGTATTTCTAACATTGCGTGTAACGTGATGTATATATAACGCATAAATAAATATATTTATTTCCTTGTTATAAATATTAAATATCTATGGTAGATGTGTGAGGAGCAAAGAAAAAAATATCTACTTCTCTTTTAATATTGTCTCTCATGTATAATACTTGCTTAACCACCTGCTGTATACGCTTATTTCCTAGCTACAAATGTTAAGTGGTAAATGTAAGAGAAGAGAAAAAAATATCTAACTTCTCCTTTATTATTGTCCCTTGTATAATTCTTACTTAACCACCTGCTGTGTATTCTACATACACAGCTTTTATATAAAAAGCAAACGATATTTAAATCTCTTTTCTTTTCCTATACATCATATAGTCTTGCAAATATTGATATACGTACATCGGGATTGATCCGAGGTATATTAAGTAGCAAATGTCAGATTCGATACGCATATCTATCGTAGACATACAACATTACACACATACGGAAGGTAGACGTCGCGATCCAGACGTTGGTCGCACAATTCCATCACGTGTGAACGAATTGACCACCTGGCCAATATAAATAAATAACCATCATTGATATGCGAGACATGCGAGGCCGCTTGCGTGATCGATTGCCCGTCGTTATACGCGTGTACGGTAATCGTTCGTAATCGTGTGCCAGAATCGCGAGTAAAGGCTAACTTGAATCACTGCGAGAATTCTTCCTTGACCCTCCCATGTACTTCGCTCTTACATGAAAATGTAATCAATTTTTTTTTCAACGTGACAGTAAAAAATAGCACGATGAATTTCCTCAATCAGAGAACATAACACATTGCTAAAGATTCTGTAGACTGTAAGATACATATAGAAATAAAAAATGGAGAAATCCTAGTTTTCTAATATAAGGTACTAATATAAAAATAAATAATGTCAATAAAGTACAATAAAAAGATTTTATCTCAGTAAGGATATACTAAATACCATAATTAATGAGCATCTATATTTTTTATTTTAAAAGTTTTAAAATAAAGTGATCAAATAAAGATCGCTCAAATATATTCTTAATTATTTAAACACCAATTGAATCAGACTTGATTCAATTTGACTTAAATCAGTTTCGTAGGAAATTATGCAAGATTTATCGCACGAAATAAACGCGAACGAAAATAACAAATCGATTTTCGCGCCGAACTATCAGGTAGCTCGATCATCAAACCTAATGTAACGAGAAATTTGCATTATACATATATATATATATACAGACGCGAATATTGTGGTCATCGCGCGATTAAAATCGAAATGACGATACTATCCGGCTTACGTCAGAGCGAGTGGCTCCAGCCAGAATCCGGATGCGATCGATGACGTGCACCTCGCGATGCGCCGATAGATCAGCGGCAGCCAGCAGCAGCGATTAACGACACTCGAATAACGCGTCGGTTGCGCGGCGGTTTACGAGCGTGACTCACGTTCACGCTGGTAACATCGATAGAACCGAGTTAAATTATGTAAAGGTTCGCACACGCGCGTTCCAACACGTCGAGTCAGTCGAGCTGCACTCGGTTTCCCCGGCAGCTATCGCTCTTAATGAGATGCACGAGGCAAACGCGAAGAGAGATCCTTCTCTCTCTTTCTCTCGCCGTCTATTTTCGCTCTTAAATTAAACCACCGCACACACGGCATTTCAATGACCGCAGATTTTCAACAAACTCAAGTCATATACGGAATAGGGTAATCTCCTGATTTTACAAAGAGCGTCCAATCAATTATTTTTGATAAGCGGATTAGATTAGTGTCGCACGTTCCATCACTTCTGAAGATGAGACCTTGCGGAAATAAAAATTCCAAAAAATATTTACTGACATGAAAATACATCGAGGTAATTAGAAAAAAAAAATATTCCTCTCCTAGTTAGTTACTGATTGTCGTGATTTCAGTTGTGCGAGAGATTCCTCGGTCTCTCGCGATGATAGGAGTTTGATTCAGTGGAGCATTGTTTCCGAATGATACGCATACAATGGCTCAAAGCGATTTGAATCTAATCTATGACTTATGGCCGCGATGCTCGCCTCTTGAATGAACAATGTGCGCATATATTTTTCAGTTTTCCTTTTTTTATTTTACGATTGCTTCAGTCTAAGTTATACGTATCCCGACTCGTAATCGTGCTCGATCTCTTCCCATTGGCCGACACAGTAATAGTTGAAAAATCTTTTCGCACCTGCTTCCTCTCAATAAATACCCAAACAATCATATTTTTCAATTTTGAAAATGTTTCTACATTAACTAGAAAAATTAGTAATAAGAAATTTCTAATTAAAAAAATTAAAGATGATCTTCACTCTATTTTTACAAAGTAATTCAAGATTATATAAAAGTTATCGCCATTCGATAATTAAATTATTGAATTATTTTACTCAAAATTAAATCGTTATATCTCTTATAAAATACTATGTACATATTTATTTTACTATGTATAAGTATATTTTTTGACAAAAATAAAATCTAGTTAAAATGCACAAAAAAAGAAGTCAAAGAATACTTAAAAATCAATATTATTTAAAAAAATTACTATTCAAATATACCGTTACTACTACTACTCAAATGCAGTCGAGAATGTAGATTGCAAATGTGAGCGGCTCGGGGGTCTTATATAACAAACTTTTGTCAAGCAGTATTAAATATATAAAAGTCGATTATCTTCACATAAATCGCAACGAGTAAAGCATCTGTATTATTGGCACACGTTCCTATATAATTTCATTTATATAATTCATTAATCTAATAATTATTTATTAATCTTTCTTCTATACAGATTATCGAATAGTTTCAGTTGATTTAATAATTTTAACAAAATATGTTAAAGATATTGCTATATCAAATAATTATATATATTCATACATAATTATCATTAACATGTATTATAATGTTAACGACTTAAATAACCTCAAATAAGCAAAAAAATTAACAAACTTCTCATAAATAGACATTTTCGGTTTCTGTAACATTTAATAAATGTCTTATATAAAATTAATTATATATTGAATCAAATATTCTGTTAATTATTTATCAAATATTGACAAAAATAGAATCCAATTTATATTTTTCATAACGTTTATATTTATCATCTTTTATATATATTTTTTATATATATCAAATATTTTACATATTAATGAGAAAGAGAGATAGAGAGAAAGACAAATTTTCTACGATAGATTTTGTAAAAATAATCTTCTAAAAAAGTATTTAACAAAAATATTTTTGCGAAAAATGTATTTTCGCTTTTATAATTTGTTCACACATTCAACATTTTGAATACGATAAAAGTATAATAAAATTAATGCAATTTTTATAAATAAAATAAATAGCATCATTAAATAAGTGTAATAGTAAAAATAATATTATAATTTATTCAATGCATATACAAGTCCACTATCAAATATTTGATTAATATACATATTTTGCATTTATTGTCTTTTTATTAATCTAATAGTTTACACTTATTCTTTAACAGAAGTGGTTATTTTAACAGAAACAATCTTTGCTAAAGATATCCATGTAAAAATATGTTTCACAATTTTGAAAGTTTTTAATATGCATCTATTGTAATATTTGAGATTTTTAAAATCATTTTCTAATCCGAAAATTTAACGGCATTGAATTAAAAAAATGGTAAAATTAAAGACACGTTAGACAGATTTAGACTGTTATATCAATATTTACATTCCTATAACAAATACGTTTTCCGGCGACCTTTCCCTTTTCTGTTAATAATATTTTATATTCTTTGTACAGTTTTCGTTAAAATAATTCTTTCTATCCAGTAGTGCACGATCAACGATACAAAGCAGATATCATTATAGCCACGTCGAGCGAAGGTAATAATTGATTATAAAATTATATCAAAAAACAATAGTTCATGTAATATATGTGATAATTTTTATTAATTCTATCGAATACAGAATTAAATTTTAATAAAATCCTGAAAAAGTATACATAATGATGGTTAACAAAGTCATGTTTCATCATCAAATCACTCACAAAAAATTTAGCAATTTTATTAAAATATTTCGTTACAAAATAAACTATATTACAAAAGAATGAATTACAAAATATCAAAAAAAGTTCTTATAAAATCAACCCTAAAACCACAAGAATATATTGAATATTAATAAATAACATATAATTAAATTATAATTTTGTTTTTCTTAATCATTTATATGTATATCTATATTTTGTGTTCTTTGTGTTTACGTACATTTGTAAGTTTTAAACAGAATAGTATATGTATCATAAATAATAAAATATAATTCAGACTTTAAAAATGTAATTTTATCATAGATATTAGATATATACTATTTTAGTACCAATTTCAAAAAAATTGGTCCATAAATATGCAATTGCGTAGGTGGGTGCGTGGATGGGGGATAAAACTTAAAAAAACCACATAACATCCATCCCCGAAAAATTTGCAACATTTTGGTACCTGTTTTACGAAAATCGGTCCATAAATGTAAAAGTAGTTCACGGTTAGACAAACATACAGACAGATGGTGCTTATTATTATAGATATAAATATTTATAGCTATTTATTTAGCTAATATTATATTCAAATGCGATCGTATAAATATGCCATCTGTTGTATTTTATACTCTTGTAATCTATAACAATTTAATTAGGTTGTTGTAATATCTATTTATAATTTTATTAAATCGAATAAGTATAATAATTAAATAATTAAGCAAAAATATTTGTATTTGAATAATATTTGTATATCGAATTTATAAAAATAGTAAAAACAGATTGAAATTTAAATTTTTGTCGAGAAATGTTTAATAAAATGTATATATATATATATATATATATATATATATATATATATATATATATAGATGTTTTATTAATAATAATAATTTATAATTATTTCAACATTTAAACTTACTTATTTTTGAATTTACCATGAAAATTTTATTGTAGATTATAATTATAAAAAGACAATGGAGATTGCTGAAGAAGAAAGTTGTTCATCATATCCACCTTGTGTTCCTACCAATAAGTAATTATTTACACTGCTTTTTTTAGTGTAACATAAAACAAAATAACACAAAATTATTTTGACTTTTTTGAGAACATATAGCTTTTTAATTATCTACATATATATTAAGCATCGATATAGACACAAAATGTTTTAAACTTTCATCAAATGATTTACATTTATTATTTGTATTTAATAATTATACATTATGCACATGAATTACGAACAAGACATTAAAATATATTGATTAAATCAGCAATTTGTACTTTTTATTTTATGCAGAACATCAAGGTATTATGAATGGATGTGGCATTACTTTACAATATATAACGGCGAATTTACCAAATGCAATATTTGTTTTGCTGTACTCAACCATCATATAGAAAAAAGTTTAATTTCACATATGATAAAAAAACATTTAGCAATTTATAAAAACTCAGAAACAAAATGGACATATTCTAAAATAGATCACAAATTCAAATGCAATTATTGTGATAATACTTATGAACCAGTATATAGATATGATAATATGATATACCACATAAACAACATTCATAAACTTAATAAAGAAATAACAAATAAACTAAAAACCTGGGTGACTGACCAATTAATTATTTCGGATTGCGAAACTTGCAAACAATTTAGTAAATACCATACCTTTATATTTATGATACATTTATGCGAAGTTCATCATGTCATTGTACCTCAAGAATTCATACCACAGGGGTAAGAAGAATAATCAATAAAATTTTATTGCTATGTTTTTTATCTTTTATATGTCCTTTTATGTACAAAATGAACAGAAATGTGTACAATGAATAAAACATAAATTTTAATTTTTAAAATGCGTAGGAATATGAATATTTGAGTCAACATAACTTATGTAGCTAATATATATTATATATTAAAATGTAATTACACAAATTTGTTCTCTATTGTATTTCTTGTAATTGGTGATGTTTAATAATTTAATTAAGTATAAATTATTAATAAGTATAAAAATTAAATAATCGGACAAGGAATATGGTATTTAAATAGTATTTGTATATATCAAATTTATGAAAATATTTAAAAATATAAAAATTAAAATATTCAATGAGTATTTAAATTGTATTAATTTAATTATGAAAAAATTGAATAAAATAAAAACTAAAATTTTTAATGAAAATTGCTTAAAGAAAAAAAAATTTTATTGTAATTAATAATTATTCATTGTACACATGGTTCAAGCAAGTCTTATAACATTGATTAATTCAAAATTTTTGTTGTTAATTTTGTTATGCAGATTATCAATTAGATTAGAAAATCTTTTTTATCCTTGTAAAAATGTTGAAAACATTCCAACATCAACCAGCAATAATCATCGGCAGCCATCTATACTTAGAACTTACTTTAAGGATTATGATCTGACTTTTTATTCTTCCGATTCATATGAAAAAGAGTGTCATTCAATGCCTTCAACTAATGAGTAATTATTTACACTGATTTCTCGATGTAACATAAAGTGGAATAATATGAAATTATAATTATATTGACTGTTTTACGAACATAAAATTTGTTAATTATCTACATATTAAGTATCGACATATAGACACAAAATTTAAAAAAAATTTTTTCAAATGATTGACATCTATTATTTGTATTTAATAATTATACGTTATGCACATGAATTACAAACAAAACTTTAAAATATTGATTAATTCAGCAATATGTACTTTTTATTTTTTATGCAGAACATCAAGGTCTCTTAAATGGATATGGCATTACTTTACAATATATAACGGCGAATTTACCAAATGCGATATTTGTTTTGGTGTATTCAAAAACGATATAAAACAACGTTTAATGACACATATGAGAACAAAACATTTTGCAATTTATAATAACTCAGAAACAAAATGGACACATTCTAAAATAGATCACAGATTCAAATGCAATTATTGTTCTAGTACTTATAAACCAGTATATGAATTTGGTAACATGAAATCACACATAAACAAAAGACATAAACTTAATAAAGAAATAACAAATAAACTAAAAACCTGGGTGACTGACCAATTAATTATTTCGGATTGCGAAACTTGCAAACAATTTAGTAAATACCATACCTTTATATTTATGATACATTTATACGAAGTTCATCATGTCGATGTACCTCAAGAATTCATACCACAGGGGTAAGAAGAATAATCGATAAAATTTTATTGCTATGTTTTTTATCTTTTATATGTCCTTTTATGTACAAAATGAACAGAAATGTGTACAATGAATAAAACATAAATTTTAATTTTTAAAATGCGTAGGAATATGAATATTTGAGTCAATATAACTTATGTAGCTAATATATATTATATATTAAAATTTAATTACACAAATTTGTTCTTTATTGTATTTCTTGTAATTGGTAATGTTTAATAATTTAATTAAGTGTAAATTATGAATAAGTATAAAAATTAAATAATCGGACAAGGAATATGGTATTTAAATAGTATTTGTATATATCAAATTTATGAAAATATTAAAAAAAATTAAAATTAAAATATTTAATGAGTATTTAAATTGTATTAATTTAATTTTCAATAAGAATTGCTTAAATAAGAAAAAAATCTTATTGTAATTAATAATTATTCATTGTACACATGGTTCAAGCAAGTCTTATAACATTGATTAATTCAAAATTTTTGTTGTTAATTTTGTTATGCAGATTATCATTTAGATTAAACAATCTTTTTGATCCATGTAAAAATGTTGAAAACATTCCAACATCAACCAGCAATAATCATCAGCAGCCATCTATACTTAGAACTTACTTTAAGAATTATGATCCGATTTTTAATTCTTCCGATACATTTGAGTAATTATTTACACTGATTTCTCGATGTAACATAAAATGGAATAATATGAAATTATAATTAGATTGACTGTTTTGCGAACAGTTTGTTAATTATCTATTTATCAAGAAGCATCGACAGAAACTAATTTTTTAATATTATTTATAACATATATATATATATATATATATATATATATGTATAATTGTATTCAAGTAAGTTTAACTTTAAAGGTACCAAAATTTAACTTGAAGCATTTAGTTTTTATGCCGTGTGGCGATTTTAAAAAATGTTAAATAATGATCTTGGTTCAGTCAGTTATATAAAAAATGGTATATATTTTCTTATTTAAATGTTTACTATTTCCTTACAAATAAAGTACAAAAGTCATTTTTAATGCAATTTGATCCGCTGAATCTGAATCTGAAGTTAAAAAAACAAAATTTCTACTTTTGCAAATAAATAATTAGTTATTGATATTTACTTTTAAAAGATAAAATTAATGTTATTATTTGTAAAAATGCTATTTTTTCTTTTTACTACAACATTTCTGTGCTAAAATATTAACTAATTATCGTATTCTGCACAATTGCACATTTGGCAGAATCAATTATATTTTTAATATTTTATGAAAATGCTTTCGGCGTTTATAATTAAAAAAATTTTATTATTTAAAATGTAAAATTTGGGGCTGAAAAATAATGTACAGACAATATTAATCCTGTATAAACGCAGAAAGCTTTTTCATAAAATATTAAAAATATTGTTGATACTGCCAAATGTGCAATTGTGCAGAATACGATAATTATAGTTTATATTCTAACACAGAAATGTCGTAGGAAAAAGAGAAAAAAGCATTTTTGAAAATAAAAATATTAATTTTATTTTTTAGAAGTAAATATCAATAACAACTAATTATTTATTTGCTAAAATATATATTTTGTTTTTCTGACTTCAGATTCGAATACAGCGGATTAAATTACATTAAAAATGAATTTTATACTTCATATGTAAGAAAATAGTAAAGATTTGAATAAAAAAATACATTCTTTCTATAACTGACAAAACCAAGGTCATTATTTAACATTTTTCAAAATCGCCATACGGTACAAAAAACTAGATGCTTCAAGCTAAATTTTGGTACGTTGAAAGTTGAATTTACTTCAATACAATTATGGACGAAGGGTGGTCGATTTGACGTGGAATGACTCATATATCCAGAATTGAGAAGTAACTTACTTGTAACGTCGTTACCGTTACCGTTATTTTAACGGTCGTTACTTTTTTCTATCTGTAACGGTAACGGTAACGTCGTTACATTTTCACAGTAACGCTAACGAATTAGCCGTTACTTTTATCGTTATTTTTTAAATTTAAATATAAATTTAAAGTGTCAAACAGGCAATAAGAGCCAAATCGCGGATGACGTTATTTTTTAATTCTCTCTGAGATAATATTAAAATAATATATAATAAATAATAAAGATTACATGCAATAAATGCAAATAAATATTTAATATTAAAAAACACTTCCTACATATAATTATACATTTTAATAATAATAGGCTCTAGCATTACAAAAACCGAAAATATAACGAAAAAACAACGAATCGTTACTTTTTGAGAAACGGTAACGATAACGCGTTAATTTTTATTAACAGTAACGGTAACGGTAACGCGTTACTTTTATAGAGTAACAGTCGTAACTCTGTATGGGTCATATATATATATATATATATATATATATATATATATATATATTTGTACTTAATAATTATGTGCATATAATTAACAAGCAAAACGTTAAGATATTAATTCAGGTATTTATATTTTCACAATTTTGTGCAGATCACCAAATATTTTAGACAATCTTTTAAGTTCTGGTGACAATACTGCCACATCAAGCACCTTTCATCAGTCAATTGTCAGTACTGACCTTACTGATTCTGAGGAATTTGATATAGATTTATATCTTATAAAAGAAGCAGAGAAGCATGGACTATAAAGGAGAAGAAAGTTATTGAATTGTTTCGCCTAATAAGTAATTATTGGCAATGCTTTCTCAATATAACGTAAAGTAAAAAACATAAAATTATATTTATATAGACTCTTCTGCGAACATACAGTTGTTAATTATCTGTTTATCAAGCGTCGATAGAAACAAATTTTTTAATATTATTTATAACATATTTATATTTTATATTTATTATTTCTACTTAATAATTATGTATTGTATACATGTATAACAACCATAACGTAAGATATTAATTCAAAAATTTTTATTTTCAATTATGTGCAGATTATGATCGAAATACTTCAGACAATCTTTTAATTTCTTGTAAAGCTACTGCAACATCAAGCAGCATAGCTATTATCATTCAACCTGTAGTACCGATCTTGCTGATTCGGAGGATTTTGATGTCGATTTGTGTGATAATTATTGACAAATGGAAAAGTTTTTTGAGTGTGATGGAGAAGAAAGTTATTCAATTATCCCGTTTGATAAATGTTAATTATTTATACTCTTTTCTCGATGTAATATAAAGCGAAATAACATGAAATTATAATTATATGAACTATTTTGCGAACATAGTTTGTTAATTATTAGGCAGTTTGTTAGTTATCAAGTTGCTTTTTTAAATTATTTATATTTATAATTTTTTTACATTTATAATAAGACATTATATATTATATAACATAAATTTATGATTGATTCTGCAAGAATAATATTATAAAAGTATTATATTGACAAAATTTAAAATATTTTACCAGATATATTTTTATATTTGTTTTGAAATATTGTTGATAATCATTTTGGTAAGAATTGGTATAAAATATTGAATATAATAAAGAAAGTAGCATTCTTAAATAATTTTAATAGATTATCATTTTATTAGTTTCTTTTAATTTAACATTTTGACTCGTTCAAAATTTGGTATAATCTTTTAATGCTTTATTTTTCTTTTCTTCACATTTTGATGGTTTTCGATTTTATAGAACTGTTCTAAGTTATTTCAAAAATACTTGCGGTAATTGTCAAGTTTTAATATTCGCCTATTGGAATATTTATGATTGTGTAATTTTTGGCGTGATGTTTCTTTAATCGGTAAAGTTTTTGGCATAGAATTTTTTTGTATTTAATGTTAACGAGCAGGTTTCTGTAACATTTAATAAATGAGAGTTAATTATTTATCAGAATCCAATTTATATTTTTCATAACGATAGAGAAAGAGAGAGAGAGAGAGAGAAAGACAAATTTTCTACGATAGATTCTGTAAAAATAATCTTCTAAAAGAGTATTTAACAAAAATATTTTTGTGAAAAAAGTATTTTCGCTTTTATAATTTGTTCACACATTCAACATTTTGAATACGATAAAAGTAAAATAAAATTAATGCAATTTTTATAAATAAAATAAATAGCATCATTAAATAAGTGTAATAGTAAAAATAATATTATAATTTATTCAATGCGTATACAAGTCCACTATCAAATATTTGATTAATATACATATTTTGCATTTATTGTCTTTTTATTAATCTAATAGTTTACACTTTTTCTTTAACAGAAGTGGTTATTTTAACAGAAACAATCTTTGCTAATGATACCCATGTAAAAATATGTTTCAGAATTTTGAAAGTTTTTAATATGCATCTATTGTAATATTTGAGATAAATTTTTAGAATCATTTTCTAATCCGAAAATTTAACGGCATTGAATTAAAAAAATGGTAAAAGTAAAGACACGTTAGACAGATTTAGACTGTATATCAATATTTACATTCCTATAACAAATACGTTTTCCGGCCACCTTTCCATTTTCTGTTAATAATATTTTACATTTTTCGTACAGTTTTCATCAAAATAATTCTTTCTATCCAGTAGTGCACGATCAATGATACAAAGCAGATATCATAGGAGCCACGTCGAGCGAAGGTAATAATTGATTATAGAATTATATCATATCAAAAAACAATAAGCCATGTAATATTTGTGATCATTTTTATTAATTCTAATCATGTTTCATCATCAAATCGCTCATAAAAAATTTAACAATTTTATTAAAATATTTCCTATCAAAGTAAACTATATTACAAAAGAATAAATTACAAAATATCAAATAAGTTTTGTTACAAAACTGACCCTACTCTTAATCCAAAAACATATTTAATATGGATAAATAATATAATTAAATTATAATTTTGTTTTTCTTAATCATTTATATGTATATATCTAAATTTTGTGTTGTTTGTGTTTATGTACATTTGTAAGTAATAAACAGAATAATATATGTATCATATATAATAAAATAAAATTCTGACTTTTAAAATGTAGTTTTATAACAAATATTATATTTATATATACATATATATATATATATATATATATAAATATATTCGAGGCTATTTAATTTAGCTAATATTATAATTAATTTCGATCGTATAAATATGCCATCTGTTGTATTTTATACTCTTGTAATTTATAACAATTTAATTAGGTTGTAGCAATACCTACTTATAATGTTATTAAAATGAATATGTACAATAATTAAATAATTAAGCAAAAATATTTGTATTTGAACAATATTCGTACATATATCGAATTTATAAAAATAGTAAAAAAAATATTGAAATTTAAATTTTCGTCGAGAAATGTTTAATGAAAATGTTTTATTAAGTTAATATATATATATATATAAATGTTATATTAATAATAATAATAATTTATGATTATTACAGCATTCAAACTTATTTATTTTTAAAATTTACTTTCAAAATTTTATTGTAGATTACAATTATAAGAGGACAATGGAGATTGCTGAAGAAGAAAGTTGTTCATCGTATCCACCTTGTGCTCTTAACAATAAGTAATTATTTATACACTGCTTTTTTTATTGTAACATAAAACAAAGTAACACAAAATTATTTTGCCTTTTTTGAGAACATATAGCTTGTTAATTATCTACATATATATTAAGCATCGATATAGACACAAAATGTTTTAAACTTTCATCAAATGATTTACATTTATTATTTGTATTTAATAATTATACATTATGTACATGAATTACGAACAAGACATTAAAATATATTGATTAATTCAGCAATTTGTACTTTTTATTTTATGCAGAACATCAAGGTCTCGTGAATGGATATGGCATTACTTTACAATATATAACGGCGAATTTACCAAATGCGATATTTGTTTTAGTTTATTCAACCACGATTTAAAACTAAGTTTAAAGGCACATATGAGAACAAAACATTTTGCAATTTATAATAACTCAGAAACAAAATGGACACATTCTAAAATAGATCACAAATTCAAATGCAATTATTGTGATAATACTTATGAACCAGTATATAGAACTGATAATATGATATACCACATAAACAACATTCATAAACTTAATAAAGAAATAACAAATAAACTCCAAACCTGGGTGATTGGCCAATTAATTATTCCGAGATGCGAAATTTGCAAACGATTTAGTAAATACCATGCCTTTATATTTATGATACATTTATACGAAGTTCATCATGTCATTGTACCTCAAGAATTCATACCACAGAAGTAAGAAGAATAATCGATAAAATTTTATTGCTATGTTTTTTTATCTTTTATATGTCCTTTTATGTACAAAATGAACAGAAATGTGTACAATGAATAAAAAATTAATTTTAATTTTAAAAATGCGTAGGAATATGAATATTTGAGTCAATATAACTTATGTAGCTAATATATATTATATATTAAAATGTAATTACACAAATTTGTTCGCTATTGTATTTCTTGTAATTGGTAATGTTTAATAATTTAATTAAGTATAAATTATGAATAAGTATAAAAATTAAATAATCGGACAAGGAATATGGTATTTAAATAGTATTTGTATATATCAAATTTATGAAAATATTAAAAAAAATTAAAATTAAAATATTTAATGAGCATTTAAATTGTATTAATTTAATTATGAAAATATTGGAAAAAATAGAAACTAAAATTTTCAATGAGAATTGCTGAAATAAGAAAAAAATCTTATTGTAATTAATAATTATTCATTGTACACATGGTTCAAACAAGTCTTATAACATTGATTAATTCAAAATTTTTGTTGTTAATTTTGTTATGCAGATTATCATTTAGATTAAACAATCTTTTTGATCCATGTAAAAATGTTGAAAACATTCCAACATCAACCAGCAATAATCATCAGCAGCCATCTATACTTAGAACTTACTTTAAGAATTATGATCCGAATTTTAATTCTTCCGATTCATTTCAAGAAGAGTGTCCTTCAATGCCTTCATCTAATGAGTAATTATTTACACTGATTTCTCGATGTAAACATCAAGAAACAAATTTTAATTATAATTTATACATTTAACATATATGTTAATTATATACATATAAGCATATATATATACACAAAATCAAATAATTATATATATTATATTTATAATATATATTATACATAATTACAACAAAATTTAAAATATTATTATTCAGCAATTTGTATTTTTATATGCAGAACATCATATATATATACTACAATATATATTTATATATTTGTTTTGATGTATTCTATAAAACTTTTTTTATGTGCAATTTATAATTAAAAACAAAATGTTCTAAAATATTAACAAATTCAAATGAATTTCATAGTTTATTTATTTGCAGATTTATAAAAATACTTTATTGACAATTAATTTTAATTCCTTGGTAAATACTGCTGCAATATGAAGTTCATCATGTCATTATCAGAATTCATTAGTAATCGATAAATTTTATTGCTATGTTTTTATCTTTTATATCCTTTTATGTACAAAATTGTGTACAATGATAATAATTTTAGAAAACTGGAAGATTTGAGAATATAACTGGCTAAAATAAAAATTAATTCAATTATCCTATTGTATTTCGTTTGGTAATAATAATTTAATTAATTAAATTATAATAAGTATTTAAATAATCGATATGTATTTAAATAGTAATATATCAAATTTATGAAATTAAAAAAAATAAAATTATATTTAATAGATTTAAATTGTATTATTTAATTTTCGAATTGCAAATAAGTTTATTGTTAATTATTCATTTACAATTTGTTTAGTTAATTCAAATTTTGGTTGTTAATTTTGTTAAATTATTTAGTATTTAAAATTTTTGATTTAAAAATTTGAAAAATAAATCAACCAGCATTATATCAAGCCATTATATAGAACATTTAAATTATATCCGATTAATTCTTCCGATAAAAATAAATCTATTCAAAAATAATTAATAAATATTTTTTTTTGTTTGATATTTCAATCATTTTTTATTTATCATATATTAATATAGATATAAAATATTAAAGAAAGTAGCATTTTTAAATAACTTTTATAGATTATCATTTTATTTTCTTTTAACCTTTTATTTTCCTTTAATTTAACATTTTATCCCGTTCAAAATTTGGTACAATCTTTTAATGCTTTATTTCTTCACATTTTGATGGTTTTCGATTTTATAGAACTGTTCTAAGCTATTTCAAAAATACTTGCGAGAATTGTTAAGTTTTAATATTCGCCTATTGATCTGATTGTGTAATTTTTGGCATGATGTTTCTTTAATCGGTAAAGTTTTTGGCACAGAATTCGCAATTAATTTTAAATAAAATTACGATATATTAAATAGATTTGAACTGTACCTATATTAATATACAAAATTCATTATGAATAAAGACCAAGATAATAAATGCCAAGCACAGATATGCGCAACTATAGATATTCTTAACTCTATTTATTTTTTTTCTGATTAAATTGCATAAATAAATTAATTTTTTTGATATATTTAGTAATTCTAAAAAAATCTTTTTAAACTTAAAAAATGGCAAAAAGATATATCAATTTTGGCTGCATTAATTTTCGTTCAAGGCACTAACAATCTATGAGTATAGTCTAAGAAATGTAAAAGATGTAAGAAAAAGAATTTGTAAAATTTCGAAATACAACATAGATTATACTAATCATTTAGCCATTATTAGTCAGAATAATTGTTATATATACCGCTTTTCCACCTCACTTTCCAAAATAAAAAATCTAATAACGCACAAAAATGAGCTTGATATCACGCAAATAAAAAATTTTAAGCACAATCCATTGAACAGGAATTTACACTTTTTAGGGAAGGTCGACGTTGCCCCACAAAAAATATTAAATTCCTGTGCAAAACAAGCTTAATAATTTTTATATTAGAAAAGCTCATAAATAATTCATTATTTTGGAGTATTATTTTTAAATTTGTTAAAAAGTTTAAGAAGTCATGTCATTATTAGGCGGTATTTTTAATTTAAAAAGTACATGTGGCCTGTTCACAAAAAAAAATGTTATTAAATGAATAACAAAAAATTAATGAAAACAATGTTAGGTTTGAGAATTCGATATAAAATTTTTGCACCATACTATCTGATTTTTTACAGCAGAGGAAGATTTTTCTTTGATAAAAAAATGATCGCAATATTCATGTTGCACGACGTGCGGAGTGACAGAGCAAGGTGCCTGGGCAAAGGGAGGAAGTCAACGGCCAGGACGATGTGCATTTAGCAGTCGGAAGAAGCATTACCTAACACACGGCGCGAGATTGGATCTGCTTGCGCGGATGACTTCCTACATAGATAAGGATCATCGCGAACGAGTATCCTCTTTAAAGCGACGAGGTCGAGCCGGTCCTGCGATTCGCCATTATGCAATTCCTTGAATTCATCGGAACGTTTGCCGATGTGTCTGTACTTTCATCTCTTTCATTCGGATACACATCAGCAAATTGTACTTTCGCCGAATTGCATTTCTCGAGAAAAATTTTAAGAACATCAATTTCTCCGTGATCTATTCTACTCTGTATTTTTCAATCTTATTTTCAGAGAAAAGATAGAAAGAAATAATATATGGATACTAATCCACAATTTATGATATTAATTCTGATTTGAACGATCCAGCGAACCATATATTTGTCAAATTCAAGCTAGATATTAAAATTGCAGGTCAGGCATTTTTATGACACACATAATCCAATCTCGACAATCGCAGCATCAGGAACTATTTGCATATTTCTGCCGCCGATGCAAGAACCTCACCCTGTCGCGAAAAGATATCGGGGTTGCCAGGATAAAATTAAAAAAAAAGAGAAAGAAGAAAGAGAGAAAGAGAAAGAAGAGAAAAATGAAGAGTGCAACAAACTGCGAAATATAATAGATCTGAGTTACGGCCGCGGCTGTGTGGTCCCCTGGTTTGACCTCCGGTCGCACAAGGTAGTTAGCTTTGAGGCTTAACACACGGTGCCTGACGTACGCAACACAGCTTCGAAGCCGTGGTGGAGAGCGATGGTATATAGGTGGTGGTATAATGCGGCCTCTCTCTCTCTCTCGCGCGAGTTCGCTCGTCTCGACGATGTTAACGCCAGATCGACCCGCGCTTTTATTACGTAAAATATCTTATCCGTGACTCGCGCGCTATCACGATGATGCTCGTCGCTGCCGCTGCCGCGTTTACGAGAAACCTTATCGCGTGCACACCTAGGGCGCTGGAATCTCATCGTTTAAATTAAGTTATTTACCGCAGTATAGTGGTACACAGCGGATTGCTGGTTACTCTCTGCAGCATTTATATATTTCGACGATACTTAATGAATAAATTTACAAATTAGAGTATATATTCTCCCTCCCGAGTTTTATTAAATAGTAGGAATAATTGTGTTAAAGTTGGCGTCTTATTTTGTGGAAACTCATAAATATTTAAGATAATTTTCTGACTTTATTTACAATAGTTCTAAAGTTCCTGATAGTGCCCGAAAAATGCATGTTTACGAGCTTAAAGGTAAGATACCAGTCGATTTTCGGAAGTTATATTTTTCCTAAAACAGTTCTCGTATAATTTTTGACATGTACAGTGCTTTTCCAAAGAGTTTTGATAATTATAAAATATTAATTATAAAATTTTGATAATTTAAAAATGTTTTGAATAATTATTTTGTCCGAAAAATATACGAGTATACGGATAAGATATTGATAGTTCTATCAAAAAAATTTCAAAATGTTTTAATTATCAAAACTTTTTAAAAAGGCATTGTACATGCCAAATACTGCAAAAGAACTGTTTTCGAAAAAAGAGAATGTTTGCAAATAGACTGGCATCTCACCTTTAAGCTCGAAAATGTGCATTTTTGGGTACTATAACTGGGGAACTCTATATAGAACTATTGTAAATAAAATCAGAATTTTAATTATTTATGAGTTTAATCAAAATAAAATATCAATTTTACACGCACGGAATAATTGGCAATAAAACTATAGCGAGTATTTTCCGTAAAGATTACTTTTAGTAAAGTATTAGTAAATGGTACTTTTTTAATACTTTTAGTAAGTAGTAAGTACGTAAAGATTATCGCAGAAATGTTTCATACATAACATATTTTATAAATTAGAACAACGAAAGCGCGCGTTATTCTCAATTTTATATTAATACTTTACAACTTGCCAAAAAAACATTTTTCCTAATATTAGTACTATTTTTCCTGATATTAGTATTATTTTTCCTAATATTTGTTTTATTTTTCCTAATATTACTATTATTTTTCCTAATATTAGTATTATTTTTCCTTAGATTAGTTTCATTATTCCTTAGGTTAGTTTTATTTTTCCTAATATTAGTTTTTAATATTAATTAATTGAAAAAAAGAAGTCACTGCAGTAATTCCCTCCCAGAAAATTAAAAAAAAAATTTAATGCTTTGCATTTAAGCATTTAAATAATTAAAAAGATTTTTTTATATAATATATATTCAGCTTAATTATATTTACTCTAAAGTGTTATTATACATTATACAATATTGTATTCAAAAAAAAGATTTAGTTTGTGATTACAAGACAATCGCGATTGCAGAAAATTGAAATAGGATCAAATTTAAAAATTCTTTAATTTGCCTTTTTTCAATGTCTCTCGAATTTGTGATATATAATTTAGTCTGTAAATATAGATTAAATTTTAATTTTTAATAATGCAGCATTCAAACAATGACTCTAACGAGTGTCAAAAAATTCAAAATCTCAATTCTTTTCATCTGCTATTCTGAGAACGAACATTTTCTTTCTCGACGCCTACACGGTGTCTCGAACAAATAAGAATGAAATGTTGCGAATGAGAGAATAGCAGAAATTACATTACGTAGATAATCAGTAGAAGAAAACTGTATAGATGCCTCTCTCTCTTTCCTCTGTATTTTTTCAGAGTATTGCAACAATATTTTAAATATAAAATTTTCTCTGAAAATTAAAAAAATTTTTTCA